TTGGGCAGGCGAGCAGGCAGTGCTCCACGTTAGCTCGCCGGGGCTGTGGCCCCAGTCCGCAGTGGGAACAGATTGGAGACAACACCCCAGAATGTTCAAGCGTGTACACCGAGTGGCTATTCCACTCCAGGTTGGGGAGACAGCGTTTCATGATCTGCCACTGCAGCGCCCTGTATGAGGTAGGCATTCTGTGCGCGTAGGTGGACCGGGGAATCTCTCGCAGGACTGCATCTGGTAGTGGGGAATCCCTCTTCCACTGGTTCTGGACAACCGCAGTAGAGGGACAGGACTCGTGTGTGCGCTTGGATCCTTTGCGAACCGTGAATTGCCAGACAGGGGTGGGCTTCTGTCCCTTCCATTCCCACTCCGCTCGATCGAATGGCAGTGCACAGATTGGCGTAGCCGTTTCGTGGGCAAAGAAGCCTGTGTGTCCTCCGGGACATCCATTAAAATTGGAACGATAATGGCAGTGCACAGATTGGCGTAGCCCATTTTTAGGCAAAGAAGCCTGTGTGTCCTTCGGGACATCTGTTAAAATTGGAACGATACAGAGAAAAGATTAGCATGGTCCCTGCGCAAGGATGACACGCATAAATCGAGAAATGGTCCAAATTAAAGGGGAAAAGAAGAAGAAGAAGAAGAAGAAGAAGAAGAAGAAGAAGCTTGTGTCGTCTGCCCCCAGGACTGTTAGCCTAGTGAGGCTATGATTGGGCAGCACGCAATATCCTTGTTCTTTTTTTTTTTCCTAATATATTTTTTTTCCATCTTTTAGTACTTTTACAGAATATCTTTCTTTTTCTTTTTCTTCCAGAATATCATTCCTAAGATATAAATGATCTACCTTCCTGTTTTGCCATAGCGCCAGCAGATGGGAAGGTTCTCTTTTGGTTCAACTGATAAGTCGCAAGTTCGAGTCTCCTCCTCCTCCTCCTCCTCTTCCTCCTCGTCAGCCAAGGAGATTGTCCTTGCACAGAATTCTCCATTCTGCACCACAGACCCAGGGTATACTCACACTAGGACTTTTCTACTGATTTCGGGACGTAATTGCGGTCAGATACATTTTTGAGATAGTGTGACCTAGTGTGAGTATAATGCTCTCTGAGGATCAACGGCTGCAAACACAGACTCAAAGTAAGTCCTACCTCACATCCTCCGTATACAATTGTCGAGGGGTTAATCTCCCCTTCCTTTTCAATCAAAAAAATAATAATAATAAAAAAAAAAATCATTGCATTTGCGTCCCCTTGCAGACCTCATAAAAATTGGACACACATCAAAAAAATTAAAAAGGAAAATTTGAGGAAAGAGTCTAGTGTTCAGCAAAGACACAATAGGCGGCATGAGGATAGTAGGTGGATGGCAGGGGTTAGGGGATGAAGGGAGACTCCACTGGTGCCCCCCGGTGTTTCTCCCCCCAATACCCGACCCTGCTACAAGATAGGTATAGAAGAGTAGATTGGATATGGGACGCTGGACCCGGTTTCCAGCAAAATGGCGTCACTTTCAACAATGTGCTGTTTTGTAAAAGATGTATTTAAGGGACGCTGGACCCGGTTTCCAGCAGGTGTTGCTCCCCACCAATAGATGGAGCGGCCCGCCAGGCAAGCCTCAATCCCGGTGGTTCTCTTACCACCACCAGGATAGAGGCCTTGCATAAGGGCCTTAGTAAAACGACAGACGGATTGATAGATAGGAGAAAGTGGGAGATGCAAGCAGAGAGTAGGAGCGGAGGAAGAAAGAGAGCCAGAGGTTAGAGGGAGAGAGAGGAGAAGGGGAGAGAGAGAGAGAGAGAGAGAGAGAGAGAGAGAGAGAGAGAGAGAGAGAGAGAGAGAGAGNAGAGAGAGAGAGAGAGAGAGAGAGAGAGAGAGAGAGAGAGAGAGAGAGAGAGAGAGAGAGAGAGAGAGAGAGAGAGAGAGAGAGAGAGTGTGTTCCCCCCCGGGCGAGGTCCCACTTGCAGGGAGGATTTTTAAGAGAGACGGCCTCGCCCCACTCCACAACATTCCGAATGTGTCTGGTACGCCTGTTGGTGCCCATATGTTCAAAATGTTTATCTGGATCACTAACAGCCCAGATACATTCCGAATGTTGTGTAGTGGAGCAAGGCCCATACTGGTCGTAGATCAGCACGAACATCAATTGATTCACTAATATGTATCTCTTAGGGTCTCGCAAACATCAATTGATTCAGTGATATACATCTCTTAGGGCCTCGATCCAATACTGAACATTCGAGTTGTACCTCGGATGCAATACGGACCAGCTACATTCGGACTGGTCCAGAACTCTGGATGTATCGGGACCACTACCAGCTCCAGATACATTTAATATGTTGTGCAGTGGAGCGAGGCCCTTAATCTGCACAACTGGGACTGCGCTACAGAGATCCAAAAAGAGAGAAAGAGCTGAATGGGTAATTAATGCCTACAGTATTTTTTCTTTAAATTATGTTTGTTTTTCTTGCTCCAGTCCATTGACGCGGACGTGCAGCTGCTGTGGGAAGGGAAACTGGATATTCGAGCTGAACTGAGTTGAAGGCAGGGGGGGGGAGGGGGAGGGGAGAGAGGGGGAAACTAGATAATTGGGGCAACTAACCTGGATGATTGTTATCATTGTTTTTCTTAATTTTTTTCATTAAAAAGAAAAAAAAAAAAACTCAATGATTGTATTGTACTTCGAATCATTTCGCAAGCTACCAGGAATTCATGGGCGTGTACGGTAGAGAGGTCCCACTGGCCAAGAAGATTGGATTAAGTTTATGAATTTGGACGTGTTTTATGAAGAGATGCATAACCCAGTTTCAATCGCGATTTTCAGCACCTGTCGACAATCACATCCAGATTCAGGCCAACCTTTTTTCTAGTGGTGCCCGGGCCCGCGTGAGATGCAATTTACTTCCTTTTTTTTCTTGATGGACTTGAGTTCCTCTGAGTTTACTTCTTCCTTTTCTTGTTTCCTTTTTTTTTGTGTCCTTTACCATTTCTCATACTAATGGTCCTTGTATTTTTTTTTTTTTTTTTTTTTTTTTTTTTTTTAACTTTTTTTTTTTTTTTTTTTTTTTTAGTTTTTAACATTAAGCTATATTCTTCTCTTAATATCACCTTTCCCACTATTTACCTACCAACCCTCCTAAGACTAAACAGGAAACCCCCACAAGCATCGCACTCAAGAGGATCCACGTTTCAGGTAGAGTGCTGATGAACAGACCTGAATTCAAATCCTGATGGAATTACATAAATATTAAATAACAGAATAACGTGGTTTTTCCTGGGTATTAGTTGTGCTGTGAGTTCGAGTTGGCCCTCGCGCCCCTCGATACTCTGAGATATCTCGCTCTTTTGTGTCTTCTTTTTTAAAGAACGGTTCTAGTACCGAAGGCCACTGCCCAAGGTCAAGTAGGCGTATATAGGCGAATTCAAAAAAAAGCAGAAGGGACAGCAAGGTAATCCTCTCCTTTCTTTTTTCTTTTTTTCTTTTTTTTCCTCTTGGTTCTCTTATGACAGGGGAGGTGCGGCCTTGCCGGCCCGCTCGAGTTACTTCCCTTCTATTTTTCTCTCTTTGTGAACTGCCTTTGGCACTGGGCGGGCCTGAGCCCCCAAAAAGGGGGACTCTCTCTCTCTCTCTCTCTCTCTCTCTCTCTCTCTCTCTCTCTCTCTCTCTCTCTCTCTCTCTCTCTCTCTCTCTCTCTCTCNTCTCTCTCTCTCTCTCTCTCTCTCTCTCTCTCTCTCTCTCTCTCTCTCTCTCTCTCTCTCTCTCTCTCTCACACACACACACACACCTCCTCCCCTTTCTGCGACCTCGCAACCTCCTCGAACTCCCTTGCGGCCCCCTCCTCCTGCTCGCACGAACTCCTCCCCATAGAGTGACCTCCTCCTCCCACCGGTGCGACCTCCTCCTACCCCTCGCGCACGACCTCCTGCAAACGCTCGTCCCCATCGTGCGACCTGCTCCTTCCCCTCCCACGACTTCCTCCTCCCCCTTGCACGAGCCACTCCTCCCCTTTGCACGACCCACTCCTCCCCCTCCTCGGGCCTCCTCCTCCCCCTTGTGCAACCTCCTCCTCCCCCTCGCGCGACTTCCTCCCCGTCCTTGCACGACCTGCTCTTCCCCCTCACACATCGTCTTCGAAAATCTTCCCGACCTCCTCCCCCTCACATGTCCTCTTCTCGTGTGACCTCCTCCCACCGCTCTTCTGACCTCCTCATCCCGCTCGGGCGACCTCCTCATCCCGCTCACGTGACCTCCTCCCACCTCTCTTCTGACCTCGTCATCTCGCTCCCACGACCTCCTCAGCCCGCTCGTGTTGTCGAGCGCATCGGCCCCCGCACGAGAAAGGGCCCTCCCGGCCGCGTCACGCAGGAGAAACTTAGGCCTTCAACCTTTTAGAGAACTCGGGGACGACACAGTAGCCCACGTCGACCCCTCGCCGCTCCGGCCGAGTGCGCCAGCTGTACATCCCGCGGTCCCCTACGACAGGATAGGTGAGGGGTTGACGCGGGTTACCGTGTCGTCCCCGAGTTGTCTCTAAAAAGTTGAAGGCCTAAGTTTCTCCAGCGTGACGCAGCCGGGAGGGCCCTTCTAGGCCTTCAACTTTTTAGAGACAACTCGGGGACGACACGGCCGGGAGGGCCCTTGCTCGCGCGGGGGCCGATGGGCTCGACAGCGCGACGTCCTGCAACCTCTTGTACTCGTGCGACCTGCTCCTCCGCCTCAAACGACCTCCTCCTCCCCCTTGCGCGACCTCCTGCTCGTCCGTGTGCAACCTGCTCATCCCCCTCGCACATTGTCTTCCGACCTCCTCCTCCCCCTCGCGCATCGCCTTCCGACCTCTTCCTCCCCCTCGTGCGACCTCCTCCCCCTCTTTCGGCCTCCTCCCCTTTGCTCGACCTCCTTCACCCCCTCGTGCGATCTCCTCCCCCTTGCTCGACCTCCTCCACCCCCTTGCATGACCTCCTTCTCCACCTTGTGCAACCTCCCCTCCCCCTCACGCATCCTCTTCCCACCTCCTCATCCCCCTCGCACGACCTCCTCCCACATCTCTTCTGACCTCCTCCTCCCCCTTGCACGACGTTCGCTTCCCCCTCGCACGACCTCCTCCTCCTTGTGCGACCTCCTCCCCCTCACACAACCTCCTCCTCCTTGTGCGACCTCCTCCCCCTCGCGCGACCTCCTCCTCCTTGTGCGACCTCCTCCCTCTCGTGCGTCCTCTTCCGATCTCCTCCTTCCCCTCGTGCGATCTCCTCCAACCTCCAACACATGCCCGATCTTCGCCGTCACTGCACAGGCCACACTGACCACGGCTCCGTAGAGCAACGACCGCCACACTCGCTTTTTGCAGCCAACACTGCTAGCGCTTTTCCCATGGGTAACACCGCTACCGCTTTTCCCCTTGGCCGCACGGAGCCAACACTGCTAGCGCTTTTGCCATGGGCCCCACCGTTCGGCCAACACTGCTACCGCTTCTCCCCTCGGCCGCATGGGGCTTTGCTTCGGGCTTTCAGGCTGGGCCCCATGCGGTTCCGGGCAGTCCCTCCGTGGGCACACGTGACGGCGGGCCCCTGCCACGGTTTCTCGTGGGCTCGCGGTCACGTGTGTCGTCGGGCCCTTTGTAACTTTTAAAAGTATAGAGATAATAATAATTTTCCAGGTAGACTGGGAGGACCACGGCCTTCTTGCAAAGGGTCTTGAGGAGATAGAAAGTCTGACATTAGGGGCAAGGTTGAAACTAGCAAAGAGGATTGGATTAAGCTCCCTAAATCTGGGCATGTTTTAAGCAGAGATGCAGAAGAGCAGGATTGGATTGAAATTATTTCTATTTTGTACTTTACTTTTGCTTTTGCTTTTTGCAAGGAAAATGCGCGAGAGAGAGCATATGGCGCCGTATGCCAGAAATCCAAATCGCATCATCACATTGAAAACCAGATAGCCGTGTGTCGCACAGAACGCAGAATGCGCCATGTACACACCAAATAAGAGCAAAACAATGAAGTTGAATGAACCCAATTGTCAATGTCAGCTCCGACTCACCACCATCAACGAAGTAGCCAGTGTCGCTGCTCTTCCCAATTGGCACCGGGCGCCCAACCACAGACGCACGACACCTATCCTAGCCTACAACTACGACGATGCAACGAGACGAACTTCAGCAGCGGACCGACGCAGATGAAGATGTCGCGTGTGCTCCACGACACACACCGGGTACGTCCTCCTCTCTCCCAGGCTCACTCCCTGACTGTCCACTCGCAGGCTTACCACCATGGCCAAGGACCACGACCAAACCCGCCAGCAAACTGTAATACCAGCCCGGCTATGGCTGCCTCACACGTGTGCTGCGCCCAGCAGTCCAGCGCCCTGCCCCCGTGTGCGCCTCTCGCCAGCCAGCGGCCAGCCTCCGATGAGTCTGCATCCAGGGAGCGCTCACGCATAGCCTCCAGCCAGAATGTCTGGACTGGAGGCGGACACCTTCTTTTGTAGAAAGTGTTGATCCTCTGGCTGTGCGCCCAGGCCCAGTTTCAGATAGCGGCCAACTGTGTGACATGGCTGCTGCTGTTTGCAGCCCTCCCACTGGCCGGTAGGCTCCAGGCCACATCGCACCGTCGGGCATTCTGCCCAGGGCCTGGTCACACAGCCCTCAAGTCTGGGCCCTTCCAGAAGCTGGCCTCCATGGCTTTGCTGCGCCATTACCCACCGCATGCTGCTTCCTAGCATGGGGGCATGGGCAAAAAGGATCCTGAAAAAGCCCCCCCCCCCACAAGGCCCTAAGGAATTTTACACCACCCAGCTTTCGGCTGGGGCCTCCTGGGCACTGCCGAGGCCTGAAAGCCTCGCATTTTCCACTTCAGGGTGAGGTGGCTGGTGGGAAAGGGAAGCATTGATTGTGGCATTTTTGTCTTTTACTCCAGTTGTCCCTTCTTCAAATATGACGACAGGAGCTGGGGTGTTACCCTGTAACCTGCAACGGCAGGAGTGTGAGGCCATGTAGAGAGATCTGGGGTTTGCCGAGGGAGGAAGGTGAGCCAGTGGCGAATTGTGGGGGACCACCTGGACACCCTATGGGGTCGGGGATAGTCTTGGTGGCGAGAAGAGGTCAGCTATGGATGATGTTGGTCTGGTCAGTACTGTCCTTCAGTAGTAATGTCCCGGTATAGGGAGGGCTAGGAGTTGCTCTACGTTTAGGAAGCTGGAATTGCTGATATAGCATAGTATTCATTTTTTTTAGTTCTTCATCAAAAAAGATTCTTAGCCGAAGCCGGGTAATGGCCCGGGCACCTCATATGTTGTGTAATAATTCATGTGGGACGCTGGACCCGGTTTCCAGCACGTGCTGCTCCCCACGAATAGATTGGAGCAAATTGTCCCAAAAAAAAAAAAGAAAAAAAAAAAGGAAAGTGAAAAATAGCTTCTTCTTTTTTTTCTTTTTTTTTTCCCCTGATCAGAACAGATACTGCACTTTATCTTACCCAAAAGCCCAAAGATGACGGCGTAGCTCAGTTGGTTAGGCACGCAAGTGGCATTCAGGAGGTCGTGGGTTCGAGTGTGGGTTCGAGCCTCATGACCTCCTGCGGTGCACTTAGTGCCAATCAGCTGTGATAATCGGCTCGATACCTCACGGGTGTGGGTGTGAGTGTGAGTGCTTTGTCTGTGTTGTGTGGGAGAGTGTTGGCCTTAGACACTGCAGCTACTCAATGGCGGGTGGGGGACGATGAAAAGGGAGGTGGAGCTACTAGCACAACGCTCGGTCTTTGCTTTAGCCGGAACCCCACCGGCAGCCCCGACCGTGCACCCTTAACCACTAGGGCAAGGGGCAACATGCAAGATATACCCTTCACCGTGAGAGGTAGTTATGCTTGCGGGAGTCCCCTCTATATAGCCTTAGGAGTAGGTAGGTAGTGAAAAGGCGAAAGAATTTGAGAGAAGAATACAAAGCAGTTTTTAGTTTAACAAAGAAAGGGAAAAAAAAAATTACAGCTATATTTACCTTTTTTTTTTTTTTTTTTCTTCAGCCATACTTAACTTTCCCTTTGTGCTCTCTCTGATGATTTGGAGAAGGGACGCGCTTTCAACCCCTTTTCTTTTTTCCCCTTTTTTCTTTTTTTTTTGTTTCCATTTTGTTGAAATACAGACCTGAGTTCGAATCAAGAAGGAACCCGGGGCCAAGTCCCACCAGCAGCATTCAGTTTCCTCAACGCCTGAATCTGAACCTGTTTGTGGAGATGTGCAGAAATCGCATTGAGCCAAGTCCCGCTAGCAGAACTGAGTTTCCTCAATGCCTGAATCTGGACCTATGTGTGGAGATGTGCAGTTGAGGAAACTCAATGCGATTTCTGCACATCTCCACAAACAGGTTCAGATTCAGGCGTTGAGGAAACTGAACGCTGCTGGTGGGACTTGGCCCCCCATGAACAAAATACCTGAAAAATACCTGAATTACCTAGGGCCGGTCAGTTTCACAATGATATCTCATTTCAAAAAAAAGGAAAAGAAAAATCAATCAGCTAATTGTTTTTTTTTTTTCAAAGGCTTCTCTGGGGCGAGGTCCCACTAGCAACGGGATAGGATAGAAACGAGTTTGTGGGGCAGCTGAGTGACCCAAATCCTGCCGTGCAGTACTCGCGATCCCACGGTCAGTACTTTACATGTATTACCCAAAAAAGTAAGGAGATCTTTGTTCCCCTCCTCCTCTCCTTAACACTGGGCATGCCCGTGCAAAGAAAGCTTCCCGCCAGAATCTTTTCAATCGGTTGGGGGTGTGGCCAACTCCAAAAGAGGGTGGGGCCGGCCATAGGCCCACTGGATACTAGATTTTCAGTATTTTACTTGCTGTTGTGCAATTATCTCATTGGGTGGGAGCCATCCTTCAATCGCGGAGTATATGGAGGGTGTCAGGATCACTGCTGACAGAAGTCGAGGTTATTCCAGAAAATGTGGCGGTTACTTTGTTCACTGTTGTTGCAACCACCACCATCAGATCATTTGTGATGATCTGATGGCTGGGAAGCACTCTGCCGTGATTTCCGGTGGGAGGTCTCTGTTTTTTTTCTTTTTTCTTTTGCCTTTCTCCTGTTTTTCCAGCCCAGAAATTCGTAATGAACCTGTCAGCCTGGTGCCCCTCAGTGTCACACTGGATCGGCCACACTCCTATCCGACTGCTAATGGGACCTCGCCCCTGATCGACATGAAGCGAGCAATGGCGGAATGTAACACTGCACACCAATAAAAGGTCTCTGCTATTGAAAAAAAAAAAAACACTGCCCACCAACAGAAGGGGTCCTCGATTCAATCAAAAAAAGAAAAAAGGGGGTCCTCGACATGGCAAAGGGTCAACACCCCCCCACCCCTTTATGCCCATCAGCAGGGATTGTTTTCTTTGCAGGGTCGGCAATTTGGCACCCAGATTTTGAACCAAGAAACGAAAAAGAAAAATTGTGCAGCATCACTGGCCTGATTTCCACTGACGACACAGTTTTCTCCAGAGAGAGAGAACCGAACGAGACACTCGTCTTTTGGTTTCTCTTTTCTGTGTAAATCTTTTTTTTTTTTTTTTTTTTTTTTTTTTTTTT